TTTGCTCACTGCCCTGTGCATTATACTGTCTATTGGCCATTTCACAATAAGGTGTCTAGAAGAAGAAATAGCCATATAAATCTCTCTCTCACTCACTCACACACTCACTCACACACACACACACACACGCACAAGTTCTTTCATTCAAATAGTAATGGGGCGTATGCACACAATTTCAACACATGTAAACTTATATTTACATCACATTTAGTTGTTCAAGCATAAAACAACATGAAAGCAACACCGCCTGCCATCAATACCAGCAGCAACTCTATTGACAAGCTGCACTGCATTCAATTCTATTTCCCCCCCCAACCGTCACTATTTCTTTTAGCCCACTATGCTCAGATAAATGGTCTTATTTTAAAGACATGCCAGGGAAAAATGCCATCTAATACAAAGCTTCTTCTCAAATTTGACACTCGCTTCAAATTCTATATTAAGCAGTGATGATCACCCTTTAAACATGCCAATTTTCTCAAGGGAACAAAATGAAAAGTCTCTGTGCATATACCCCATTGCCCCACTTTTACATTCTACTTCCAACACTGTCAACTTCATCAATAACTAAACATTGCCTTCATTTCTTCTAATATCTTACCTCACACTTTTTCTTATCTACATTAGGTTTACTAATATATACATATATATAATAATAATAATTAAACATTATTATTATCAATTATTTTACTGATTCCTCTATGGGAAATGCTGTGTGTCTGCTAGACTCCATGACTTGTACATTATGGCTGCTACTCTTCTACTACTCTACTGCATTTGTGGCCATTAAAACAGCACTTCCTGACATTTTGCTGGATACTTTCAAATAATTCTTCCGCATACACCATCAAACCACATCTAATAGAGGCGCACAGTATTTCCTTCATCCTAAACAAAGACATGCACAAATAAAGACTGCGCAAACACATTTGCCATCGTTAAGACACAAACTCTAACTATGCCATAATATACTCTGCCCTGTCTCCTTATAAACCGCTCTTGCGTATGTTTCAAAACTACTTCACTAAACTTCTGCAACAACCACACACCCTAAAATAATACACACTTTTCTTTCAATATCTTTTAGTCTTCTCTTACACAATGAGTACACATCACATTTTTGCCTCCCGTATCAAAATATCATTCGCCTCTACGAGAAATCTGTGGCCACAGAACTGCACAAAATTAAATCGACTGCTTCAACATCTCCCTTTCAACTCAGCAGGAGCTTCTCTACACAACAACTGACTTCTCTGTTGAAACACACAGAGACTGATAACCGGGCCACATCTATCAATAACAGCAGTTGTCATCCACCCATTCACTATTTCGTACACTCTACACTTGGTCTTTTCACAAATACAACACAAATACTTTACCGTTAAACCATCGACACGCTTTTCTAACAATGCTCAAACTATTTTAATACAATTACTTTACAAATGACACTCAATACATTGCAAAATTTCACGTCCTTTCTCTACATGAACACTATATTCTCTATGAAAAGTCAAAACTTTCTTTCCCCAGTTCAATTTTTCATGCCATGTTCCTTTCCTCCTTCATGTGAAAAACCTAAAAAACAAACAAATTATTTGACTATTTACCTCTGCATACGTCAGCCCTACCGTTGTGTATGTAGCAAACTCTTTTGCCTCTAGCTAAATTGCTAAAGCCTGATTGTTTTAATTGTTTAAGGACTGGATTTTGCCATTTTTCTAAATGCTTTGCTCTTCTCTCTTCAATCAATGTCACAATGTCATGTAAGATGTCAAATGTTGCCATTTTGTAAATGCAAATGTTCCACAATATATCATTTACAATATATTAAATGGGAAGTGCATCTCTGGGAATTACAATAGACTATGCTGGAAAAATGTATAAATGTGCCAAGTAGACAAACTTCTAATTGATGAGACATGAAAGCAAAGGATGCTTTTTTTCATGACAATAATTCAAGTAGCAATAGGTCATTCTAATTCGACATGGAATCAGTTCAACTACTTAAAAGGTGATAAAACAAAACATAGCTCGTCGCTTTTATTGACGATAAATGGTGAAACTGACTAATAAACCGGCGGATGCAGCTCAACTGCTTCGTTATTTTCAACACTTGGTAGCCTTAATCACACAGTGTTTCTATGCCAATTATTTACAAGCTCATCAAATACATACAGCGGAAACTGTTACTCTAACATCTGTTTCTGCACATCAAAACAACAATTCCATCTCTTAAATCATCCAAAGCAAAGTTATGACTCGTTACTTCATGCTATCGTTCATATGACCGATTTATCTGTTACTTTAAAGATGTTTCCAGCCCTTCAAAATCGTCTACTCTTCTGCCTGTATTCAAAAGTGCGCATCCTCAATCTGCTAGGAAGTATCCACCTATTTGGTATTTTTCCAACATTCCAGAGAAACTAATAGCTACGCAAATCACTCGTTCTTTCCACAATACTTCTCTTCCTTACCAACGATTGCAGTTTGGGTTCACAACAAACTATTCGACTGAGATGGCCAGTTGCTACTTCATATGAAAAGTCAAGTCTTTATGGTGGGGTCGTCGGTGCTCCACTTCAGGAAGGCCTTTGACACGATCGATCGCACAATTCTCATGTCTACATTATTCATTTTAAACTTTTCCCACAAACGTTAACATGGATGGAATCGTCACTGTCTGCTCGTGTAAACTACTGTATGTTGATATACAAGGATCTATTCAGTGTCCTTTACTTTTTCCACTTGTACACCTTCCATCCATCTGACCTTATTTTATTACCAGTAGCGCTGTCACAGATACAAACAAACTACGTTTTAACTTTAGCTACACGTTACAGCTATACTACAGTCGACGCTGCTGTTTACACCTCCAAATCTACAAAACGCTTACTGTGTTTGTTTTTTTACAAACATAATACTTTAACCGTACTACCGCATGGATTTGTATCAGGGAAGGATTAAAAGTCGGTTAGTTGGTCATGGATTCAAAACTTTCATTTAGGCCACAGGTCTGTGACCGCGTCACATTCAGTCTAGCCAATTGTACATTTCTATGTTTTTATATGTAGTCTGAAGCCTACATATGAGGATTTACATAGGCCTGCTAATAAAAAGTTCCAAAACATTACCGCTAAAAACTTACATTGTGCTAGTTTTCTATTGCGATCTTCCGCTAAAAAACTTCAATAGCTCTATTTTGCCCATGTAAATGCAAATACATTTATATTCAATGGGAGGCGCATCTGCGTCAATACACCGATCTCCAGCATACTGCACTGATCACACAATATCTGTTCCTTTCACATTTGCACCTATTTTGTGATTGACTCATTTTTTCCACTTTATTTACGCTTGTCAATTGCATCATGGGAGGTTGATCTCTGCTCTGTGGGCTTTTGATGTTGAAAATTCATGCAACGCATAACGAGTCAGTAAAATAACAAGAAATGTACTGGCAGTTTATAGCAAGGTGTTACACCTCTAAGCCAGACTATTTATCGCTTTAAACTATTCAAAATGTTTCAAAAACTTTTCAACATTTACTTTTTAAGGTCCCGTAACGCGATTCAAAAGCATAAACGGATGGGGGAAATAAAATCAATTATAACATCAATCTCAAAACACACAAAACTCCTCATTTACAGTCCATATTGCGCATTCACACGTTGCCATATTAATCCTAAAACAATATATATTGCGCAGCTCTAATCTTAGAGCACTTATCCGCTTGATCGCAACCTACTATTACTACTCTGAATCCACCTCCATCTTAGTCAAAACAAACATTAAAATGCTTCGTGACAAATCACTTCAACTGCTAAGATTGCCCATTTACGTTAAATGTTCATAATTGTCAACCGATTAAGACTGCACATAAGGCAACTTCAATCAGTCTGTGAATGTTACAACAACTTCTCACCCAACTACATTGACTGGTGGAAGAGGGACTGTATTATTTCCGTCAACAGATGTCAATTCAGTTAGTCTGTATTCTCAGTCAAAGCTGCTACGAAACGCTAGGAAAACCCCACCAACAATTACAACATTACTTTTCCTTCTTTTCACTTTCATGACCAAATTCTCGTTGTCGACATTGACGATAGTCTATAGAAAGATCTTTAATCAACACTACTGTATTCTGACAGGACACCTACTTGTACAGTTTGATCTTGGCTACGTCGTCCTGTTCTCTGTCCTCTCTATGTTACGTTTTTGCATTTAAATATATGACACTTCTCTTTTCTAGGTTTTTATACTTTGTTAGTATTTTAGATGCGACTTGTTAACATTCTGTCAAAGGTCTACAGATGAAACGTACTCATTCTTGCCTAAACACCTAACCTAAACACTTTGAGTGGGTTAAAAGCGTTCGGCCAGAGGAAACAATCGTGTTGCTTTAACAGCAGTGATTGGATGTTCTTTTTACATAGTCAACAATGTTATGTTCATTTTTTTCACATAACAAAAAATCCCCTCATTTCCTATGACAAACTGAAATGATACACTTTTCTTGCCAGAAAAAAGCACACTTCCTGCATACTACAAACCTGCCTCACATTAACAACCCATTGATGATTATTATTGTTTTTCATTCTGTAGTTATACTCGTTAATATTATTATTATTAATATAAGTATCAGTACTGTTATTGATATGATTTCATTTACTGGAACAATATTGATTAAAACAAGAATACAATTAAAACCTTTGTATCATTCACCTATTCTTATCGTAGTCATGAATATGTGTGAGCCACTTCTTTGCCATCACGACGATGCAAACCGATCCGAAGCCGTCCTTGTAGTGCATCGCCAAATGAGCCGCGCTGCTCTTCCGGTAATACAAAATACAGCATCGCAGCACCTTCTCCAGCACAGACCCGCCGATGACCTGCAAACGCACGACACAACGCATGTCAGCATTCATCAGTTACGGTCGACTCTCATACATATTGTCATATACGACATCATACATGTAAAACTACACCAGTAATTTAAC